AAAAAAAAAAAAAAAAAAAAAAAAGACATGTTACACTAATTGCCAAAAAACAAGAATTAAAAAATTTAAAGTAACATCATGATGCTTCCCTTGTAAAGTTTAACTTACACTAATTGCCCAAAAGACAAATTAAGTCACAAAGAATAACCTGTAAACACAATGTAGGGGTTGGGAACAGAAGTGAAATTAAAATATATAAAAAATTCTAATTTCTCAAAATAAACTAATTAAGAAGATAGTCAATTCCTCACCGGAAGTCACGTAGCAAAAGTGAAGAAGGCAATCTTAAGTCAGTAATTGAACTCGAAACACAAACTAATGATGGTCCCAATTCCCTAATTACTTGAAACAAAGTATGGTGTCAAATATCCAAAACAAATTGTAATTACCATCAATTTTAAGCAGAGAGCAAAGAGATTAGAAAAACCTGATCAGTAACTACTGAAGGCGAAAGAGCCACATGAGAATGAGCAGTGGCAAGGACTGGAACGGAGACGGTTATGGAGGTAATGAAACTTCCAAGACTTTGATAGGCAAAAAAAACTAAAATCTTTTCCTAAACTACGTGTATCGGAAAAGTTTATTTTTGGTACGAAAAAAGAAATCCAAATCTCAATAACAACCACCTTATATAATAATATTTTATTATATGCCAAATACATAGACAACCCACTAAACTTCGCCTAATTTTTCATTTTGGCACTCTAACTTAGTCTTGTTCCATTTTGGCCCTCCAACCCCATTTTTTGTATTCCACTTTAACACAAAAGCTAACTAGATTGAGTGTGTGATTTGCCACACCTTGTAGGCGCGTGAGGGATATTTTTTTAGCCAAATTTCCATCTCCAACGGTAACAATATAAATGTTGGCCCCATATTTAATCCCCCATCTTCTTTCCCCATTATTTTCCTTCCTCATTTACTTTGCCCCACCTTCACTCTCAAAGTTTCAAAGAGCCAAGTTTGAAGGCCAATCCGTCGATTTTTTACTTTGCCCCATTTATTTAATCTGATTTCTTTATTGTGGGTTTATTTCAACTAAGCTTGAAGTTTGAAGTGAATTTGTATCTCAAAGAAAATTATTTTCTCACAATGGAATGGATATTTGTTGTTGTGGATTTCAAGTTGAACTGAAAGTATCATGGACACCAAAAAATCCAGGTCGTCGCTTTTATGGGTGTAAATTTGACAAAGTAAGTGAATCATTTTCGAATTTCATTTTTAGTGTTCTCATTTTCTTGTCTCTATTTACATTGATTTATTTGCATTTTTCTTGTGTTTTACAGCGTGGCTGCAATTATTTTAGATGGCATGATGATGAGTTTTCAGCTCAAGCGAACAAAGTTATTTATGGTTTGCTAAACAAAGTAAAAGAAAGAGATGCAAAGTTGGCTATGTGGAAGAAGTTAGTTGTGTTTCTTGTTGTGTTCATGTTATGGAATTGGCAAGGTTTTCCTGGGTTTTATTGATGTAATTGGTGTAACGACCCGACCGGTCGTTTTGAGCTTTTGCACTTCGCTCGCCAGTTCTTGGGCATTACTTGCCCCGTGTGGTGTATTATGACTTATGTAAATCATTGGTGTTGGGTTTCAGGTTAATCAGAATGAATTTGGAAGAATAGTCTCAGTTGAAAGCTTTAAATTTGAAAGGCTTGACCAAGAGTTGACTTATGTGTAAATGATCTCGGATCGGAATTTTTATGATTTTTCTAGCTCCATTAGGTGATTTATGACTTAGGAGCGCGATCGGAATTGGTTTTGGAGGTCCGGTGTGGAATTTGGCTTGAATTGGCAAAAGTAGTATTTTAGCGATTTCCGGTTGATAGGTGAGATTTTGATCCAAGGGTCGGAATGGAATTCCGAGAGTTGTTGTAGCTTCATTATGTGATTTGGGATGTGTGTGCAAAATTTCATGTCATTCGGAGGTGATTTGGTCGTGTTTTTTATCAAATGCGTGTTTCGGAAGTTTTTGGAAAACTTAGGCTTGAATTCGATGTGAATTGATGGTTTTGATGTTGTTTGAGGTGTTTTGTTGATTGGAAAAAGTTTGAATGATGTTATGGGGTGTGTTGGCATGTTTGGTCGGGGTCACATGAGGCTCGGATAAGTTTTGGAAGAGTTTTTGGAAGATTTTGCTGTTTTGAGCATAAGCATGTAATGATCCAAAGGTCCATTTTTAGTTCTAAAGATCGAAATTTGATTTCGATACTTCTGAAATTTTGATAATGAATTATAGGACTGATCTGGAAAGTTTGGTCTAATTTCATTAAGTCGCAATTGGGTTTTTCACACGAAACATGAGTTAATTGTTTAACGAGTGAAATGGGTATTGAACTGAGCAAATAAGCTCCGAATTGAGTTTCGACTGAAGGGCTATGTTTGTATCATTATTTGTGACTCATAGGAACAAGAATCATAAAATTCCGAGGTCATACTCCCGAGAAATGAATTTTTGAGAAAATTTGTTTTCTGAAAATATTTAAGGAAAATGGAAGTGAAATTTGATTAGACAGTGATGATATCGGGCCCGTATTTTAGTTCCGATGCCCGGTACAGGTCATATATATAGTTTAAGCACTTTCTGTAAAGTTTGGTTGAAAACGGACGTCATTTGATGTGTTTCGGACTCAAAATGGAAAATTTGATGTTTTATGAAATTTGAAAGAATTCTTGGATTTTAAAGCTTAATTCATGGTATATGACGTTATTTTGGCGATTTGATCGCACGGTTAAGTTCGTAGGATGTTGTTGAGTTAGTGTATATGTTTGGTTAGGAGCCCCGAGGGCTCGGGAGTGTTTCGGAGTGATTTCGTACTTGGAAAAATTTGGAGAAAAATTGCAGAAATAGTACCCAGTGAACAGTACCGTGAACAGTCACCGCGCGTGAACAGTAACCGCGCTGGGTGAACAGTGATCCGTGAACATTTCAGTGTACAGTAACCCCGTGAACAGTACCGGACAGAATGTTAAGTTCGGGAGATTTTCCATTTTTAATGATTTGGAGCTCGGATAAGGCAATTTTTCGGGAGATTTTCGGAGAGAACAACGGGGTAAGTATTCTTTACTCAATTTTGGTTAGATTACTCGAATCTATTACATGTTTTGGTATTTAATCCGTGAATTTAGCGGAAAAAGTTAAAAACCCTCTCGGATAGAATTGAGAATTTGAGGGTCGAAATATTATGGGAATTTGATAATTTGGGTATGGTTAGACTCGTGGAGAGATAAGGAACCCATTGATGTAAAAAATTTTGAATTTTGAGACGTGGGCCCGGGGCTCGAGTTTTTGCTAATTTCGAAAATTTTGGTATTTTTCGATTGTTTTGATTGGGCTTTGTTCCCTTTTCATATTATGACATATTCGTTCTGATTTTGGATAGATTCGACGCACGTGGAGGCCAATTCGAAGGGCAAAGGTGTCGCGAGCTAAAGAAGTAGCCGGTTTGAGGTGAGTAATGAGTGCAAATGATGTCCTGAGGGTTTAAAACTCCGGATTGCACATCATAGTGCTATATTGAGGTGAGACACGTGCTGGATGAAGAGCGCGAGGTCCTTTACTACTGAGGATTATGACTTGGTCCATCCTGTATTGATGATTTTACTGCATATTTGATTGAAACTGATTTGTTATCATCATGATTTGGGTTGTTTGCCATATTTGGGCTTCGTGCCAATTATTTGAATCCTTCGTGAATTTTTATCACTATTTCCTCACTATTTTGATTTATATTTAAACTCAGTCCTGTTGATGATTATTGTTTTACATA